AGTCACATTCTTCATGCTTTTAAGGTAAGATATAATGTAAGAAACGACAATTTGCAATTAATAAAATCTGCTTTAAAAATATACAATTTCAATAACAAATGTGTACATAGTTGATTCAGAAAAGTGGGGGAATTTTTACAGTGAACGAATATGAAATTTTATTGAGTGTCACTAATAAAATTGTGCGTTTTTCATGAAAATTGTTAAGGTAACATTTAGTTTGTAGGTGGGTTGAGATAAAAATTATGATGTGTTAATAATTTTTATCGATCAGTCATGATGTTCCAAGATTACTGTTACACACTGTAATTTTTATGACGAATTTCGTTATAATTCTTAAGAGAAATTTCTTTTCGTGTACTCGATAAAGTTTATTAAGCGGACGCGCGATGAAAGTAAAAAAAATGCGGTAAATATAAAAAGCACATAGATTTCCGCAAAAGAAAATAGCCTACAGGATATCCTTTGTTAAAGTCGACCACGTACATGCGCGATTTCCAAAAAATTAGCTTTAAGCTGATGGTCGAATTGAAATAAAAATGCAAAGCGCGTAATTTTCTATTAAAAATTTTGGGTCCGCATTGTGTCGAATTTTTTGGTCTTTTCTTTTCTAATAAATGAACCAGCTTACACAGGCGTCGACCAGTAAAAACGAAAAGTCAATAATCCCTTGGCTAGCAACGGCAACCGTGCACCAAAATTCGGTAAAACAGCCCTTGGGGGAGTTCACTCACTTTTCTTGATAAAGGTCTTGCACCTTAATCTTAAAAAAAAAAGAAAAACTTTTTTTTAAGATAATGCGATGTTATCACCTCTATTGTGTGTGTGTGTGTGATTAATGTCGCGCTGCTTTAGTAAGCGGTAAACGTACAAAAGTTTGAGATGTCTTTCGAGTAACCTGTTTACCGCGAGGTCATACGGTGGGCTTTAACGCGTTGAATGTTGCGTTCGCGTGCAATTGAGTGGCGCTCTCTTTCGCTTGTTATGACGTGTGCTTTGTCGCACAGATTGTTATTCTTGGCTTCGTTTGCGTTTTCGGATGTAATTTTTAGGTGATGTGTAATTTTTTGGAGCTACGTAAGCATTGGTTTGGATAGTAAATTATCGTTTATAGATACTTTTGCAATAGCTCCGACTTCATATTCTCTGTTATTTTAATATTAAATAAAAATACTATTGTCAATGTTCGTGCACACCTTGCAGTATATAATTGATGCGTTGCGTAAACGTCGCACGGTTTCAAAGTGTTTTTTTCAAAACCAATGAGTCGGAAACTTTCGTATCGCTAATGGTCATTGTTAAATAGTAATGGCATAGAGTGGATAACAAAAAATGCCGTATTGTTAACAATGAACCATTAAAACAAACACTGATGCATTCTTTCTTGAAGTTTATAAACGGTGTAGAATATTTTGTTCACTTTTGTATAATTTATAATCGTATAATTTAAAATTGAGATTTCCTTGATGGACTTTTGCGAATGAAGCGCTGGAATTCCCCATTTGTATGCGACGCGCGACAACTCATTCCTTTAACTTTGAAAACTTGTAACGCACAAAAAATAAAGTAGAATCGTATCCTTTCTTGTTCGTTTGCTATTAACTGTAAACTTACTTTTATTGCCAAAGTTATCCAACTTGCACAAAACACACACACACGCACACATCCGTTTCCTTGTATATACATTATGCAATAAGAAACAAAGAAAAAGAAGCCGTGTCACGAGCTTACATAAAAATTAACAACATATCATAAAATTGTTAGCGAGAGCGAAAGAGAGAGAGAGAGAGAGAGAGACAAAGTAGCTGCAGCCTCGCCGAGATGATGATGCTTAGCAACAACGAGGTTTTTAAAGGAGTCGTCGTGAGTCAGCTCGAGAGTGCGAGCAACGAGGAAAGGCAAAGTCAGATATATCCGTAGCTTATAACACATCGTCCTTCGTGCCGAGGAGTCTGTCTCTTGAGCTACTTTGATCGCGATCGCTCAGTCTAATTACACGGAATTACTCGACGATGACGCGGTGCGTTTGGTAAATAAGCTCGTCGCAGCGAGCCAGAGGAAAAGAGAACGAGATTGATGAATTTGTTTTGCGATGCGAGACGGCAATGCATTGATATTTCGACAGATGAATTATCCGTAGAAACTCAAGTAACCTGCAAGATATCAATTATGGCATTCCGTTTCAAAATAGCCGATGCGACCTTAAAAAAAAAAGAGAAAAATATTATCGTGAAGTTGCTACTTTATAGCTGCTCACAATGCATAATATCGAGTAGCAACAAGATAAAAACCGGCAGTATGAACATTCTTTCAACCAAATTTATTAAATTGCGCACCTTTCATAGTTTGTTTGATATTTAATTCGTCATAGTCCCCGAGCACAGAATCAGCCTTAATTAAAAACATCAACTACATAACTAACAAAACTACGAGTTTTTTGCAGAAACTCCAACGAAATTGCTACTCAGGCATAATTTCGTTGAACATTGCGGTTATTTTCTAAAGCGACTTTCTCGTCGAGTGGAGAAATTTTTTGACTTCACGTTGGAAACAAATGAGACGGATCATCGCGTAATTAGTATCTCGAATAGAACGTCGGAACACGCACATTAAAAGAGCTTGCAGGCAATTAAATAGTATTAACGACATTCGACTCTGCTGCTGTTATTATATGAACGTTGCAATTTCGATGTTACGTGTGTTATGTTGGTTTTATTTTCAAAGTTATATCTGATCAATTGCGTATTCGTCAAATAGACGGGAGATCGTATAGAGGCAAAAATAAATGAGATGTGCGTGCCAATTGATGTTTGCTATAATAAGCAGTAACTCCATACAGCCGTATGTTGCATTGCATGATTAAGCGTCATTTCCGTTCAAATGCAGCGCGTATATCATTCAAAATCCAGTAAATCTTTGCGAATAAACCATATCGAGACAATCCGTCACAGTGCCAGCCAAATCAACGGAAGCAATCAGATTAAAAGGCAAAGCACAGCTCCGCGCTTGCCGCGGACGACATAATTGCAACCAGTTGAGTGTCTCTCGTCAACGGAGCGACGACAGTAGGCCAGAAACAATTGGCCGACTAACGAGTAACGACGCCGTCGCGCATTTATTTTTCGACGCGGTGCCGCACGTTTATGTAAGTTGGCTCTCTCTCTTCTCTCTCTCTCTCTCTCTCTCTCTCTCTCTCTCTCTCTCTCTCTCTCGAATGAGCGCGGACGACGACGAGCCGACGACGTTACGCAAAAACGAGAAGACGCTAGCGCGACTAGATTCTCTCACGCTTTTTCTGCGCGAATACACCTCTGACATTGTCAATTAATTCCTATCTCGCTTTCACGTGTGGGTGTGTGTTGTATTCTCTGTTAAAATTTAATTGGTCGCGAACCACGTCCAAATTTAAAAATCGTGAGACGCGTCACGTAATTTACAAACACACGCAATAATTAGATCTTGTTTAGAGCGATTTCGTGTTCAGTGCGAGGATCCACGCTATATCTTACGTCGAAGCACAAAAATACACGCTTAGTATATTGAGTCGTATACGTGTAGCGTGAAGAACGACGGGAGGCGAAGGATGAAGTTTTATCGGTGCTAAAATTGTGCCAATAAGAGCAACGCCGTATTTTACATTGAGGCGAACAGTATTATCGAGTACGGGACTACTATGTGATGCACATGTGAGAGCTGATAACATTCCTTTTTAATAACGACATTTAAAAGCATTGTTATCGCCTTACTTTCGCCTCGTTACTCGCTTCCATACACAACCATTATACAACATGAAGCAAGCAAGTCGCATAAAAAAATTCCAAGCATTTTATTTTCATTCGCTCCGATCACGAAAGCTTCCATGATAATTTATTTGATTGTCGAACCTATGTAAGAAATGTTATCTCATTCATCTAATCCCCCCGATAATAATCCCAAAGTACTACTATTACTACACGCAAACATGTATAAATATACGTCGCCAACAAGCCAAATCAGCCGGTGAAATCTCTCGACGCGCGCGCGAACAGAGGCATTTTGAGCAAAAGAAGAAAAACCCAGTTCCTAATGCATCGATTCTTGTATTTTTTGCTCCGTGTCGTTCGATCTCTATACCCTTTTTTCGTAAAACCCGTAGCCTTCGAAATGCTTATTTACGTCCAATTAGCATTATCGACTCGAACGGTTTCTTTCTTTCTCTCTCTTTCTGTTAGAGATTGTTCCTTTAGACATACGCGAAAGAACTTTTGTCTAGAAAAGCAGTGAATTGTAAATGAAGTACAGAACTATATGTTTCATCAAAAATTAAATAACTGAAGTAACTATAAATTTAATAATGTGCGATCGATTTGTACGTGACGCCAAGCTGACCTTTGCGTTTCCGAAAATTGCACGTGCAAACGTGGACTGTCTCGTAGGTAGAGAGCCATAAATCAGCTGTGTCTTTCGCCAACCCTTGAGACTACAACGCCTAAATATGGGCATCTTGGTGCCGTACAATCAACCACCCACGCCACGCTGGTACAGGCTCTGCGCGACTAAAGATTACTGCGTCCGCCTTGCCGTCAGTTATACTAATAATCTGATTATATCCCTCTATCTTATTCTCGCATAATATCTTCTATTGTTTCTACCAATAAATAAAGAAATTGGTTGAATAAAAAATAAATTATTTTTAGATAGTGTTTATATCTTAGGGAATCACTTTATTAATAAATGAAAAATATATCTATTTAATTAAAATTTATTACGAGTTTAATCTACTGTAAGTGAAAACTTAATCATTAATTTTTCGACTCTGAAAAGTCACTGCCAAAAATCAAACTCTTCACTTTTCGAAATCACCTGCTAAACATTTAGAATATTTGCGAAATGGAGCAAATGCTTTACAACACGTAACTGCCATTTCAATGGCTCAAAATATTCCAAGGTACTTTCTGCTCTTTCTTTGAAACTTCATATGAGGAGATAAACAACAATAAATAAAATGAAAGAAATTAATAGAAAACAGAGTATGTATTTACAAATTACATTTTTGACATATACAATGAATTACATATAAAATGATAATTATTCGAAAATGGAACACTTAATTATTTAAAAATTAACTGAAATGCATTAAGAAAATGCAAATAATAAAATACGATTGTAATATGTACTATTACGTGTAGTACAAGAATAATTCTCTCGCATTCTTCAATTGATCGCAATTGGAATAAAAACACTGGTACCACAGGCAAGCATTATAGAGACCAATATTTAAGTTCCTCGGTTATGGAAGCGACGTGATGATCCGCATACTGTAATATAAAAGAAATCGAAAAATTATAATTCAATTATATACATTTATCATTTTATTGTAATGAACCTGAGTGATAGATTGGTTAAAAATTGTGTTTTGAATTTATAGTAACAATGTGAACTGATTCATTACTCTTATAAATACCGTTATATGAGCAAATTTTACACATTTATTTTATTTTATTGCCAATATTTCAAGTTGCAATTATATTTACCTCGTTGAAATCATCGTCCTCGATGTCATCGGATGCTATTGGTTTCGTACGCATGAGCTCATTATCGACTTTGCCAAGATCATACCATATGGTTTCAGCTATTTGTTCCCGTATATCTTCTCTTGCCGTCCATAGCAATTGTACGGTTTCTAACAAGAAGGCCTTGGCAGTTTTGAGGATGTTACGATATTCTTCTTCTAGACTCTGCGTGAGATAGTACTTGTATTTAAAACTGCTGGCAATTTGTTCAGCAAGTTTTAAACAGCTCTGTGGAATAGAAATAGAAAAAATAAATTGAAAAACGATAAATATTGTTTGAAGAATAACAACGAATAGTCTATGCGCCAATGGGATCAAAGTGGCCATTTTAATTTGGATTGGGACACCAAGTTTTTTTTCTGTACTTTGACACAATCAACGCGAATATCGAAGTTGGCTTCCGATTCGACGGCCGATCATATTTAAATTAAATTGACGGACTCTTACACTAGAGGGACAACTACTGTACCAAAAAATGCATGTGGCATTCAACGTTGATGACCGTTAAACACATTCACAGTAAACCGCGTGTATCGAAAATTATAAATTTTCACCACCAAGTAAGGTTATATAATAGCTTTAATGCAGTACAGTTAAACGCAGATAGGCATTTCGTGAAATAAAATGTTACTCACCCTTCCTTTAAGCCAGGTCGCCGCAACGCAATTAAAATTCTCCAACATGTTTAAAACTAGTTGGTACTGCTGACTTTCGAAATATGCTTCAGATAAAGTAATCATTTGTACTCGGTCCTCCTCGGTTCCCATGTTTCCACTTTTGCCCAGTGCAAAAAAAAACAAAATCCTATTGTTTGTGTTCGATGCGAGACGACAACACTGTCAGCGGCAAATTGTGGCGTCCACAGGACACAACTAACACACTCAATTTGATGAAATCACTCGGCGAGCGCAAACGATAACCGGAGTCGGCTTCGTCACGGATACTCAGCGATCAACACTAGGATTAGGGAAAAGCGAAAAAAAATTGTCCCTGCTGCTTGTCACTGGGCTAATGAAACTGTGCTACTGGTCTGGTGAATGTTCAACAGAAGAATGTGCCGAAGGCAAATGTTACCGGCTTTTATGGCGAAGCGCATCCCTTGCGCCCGCCCAGATTTTCCTCTCTTAATGACACGACCACTACGAGAGAAAGTGGTGAGAGGGGATGAAGACAATGTGCACTAAATGAGAGGTGCCGCGTTCGCCCTCGCTCTCTCCCAATGGGATCCGGGCTTACATTTGACTATTTAGACGGGGGAGGACTCGAGAGCGCAAAGTGTCTATGTGAGGTTAGCCCGCCAGAAATCTTCGGCGACGTTGCCGCGCCTCCTGTCGTCGCATGCTACACCGCATCCTACCGAAACGCAACTTGTTCCCCCTTCCCTTTATTTTTGGAGCGCCCTCGCCGACGCTCGTCTCCCACGTTTCTATCATGTCCTCGCTCTTATTTTTTCGATCCCTGCCAATTTTTATCTTTTTCTGCTTTATATCGTATCCAGCACAGTATTTATATGGGTAATTAACATGATTCGATTGCCGAGTGCTCAATGTCCGGTAGCCGCGCGATTAAAAAAATACTTTGTGTCTTTTACTCGCTCGTTCTAAAAAAGTTATTAATGGAACGAAGCGAAAATATTTGGAAGTCATCTTCGTAATATCTAGTTTCACATAGTCTTTGCCCCAATTCGATATCTACTTTCGTTTGTTTACAGAAAATTATTACCGGAAAATTTTCAAAATTAGTAACTTTGATCGACGAGAGTCTGTTGCGCATATTCGAATCAAATGTGATTATCATAAATTGTTTTATGTTACATTATTTGATAAAATTTCGAGAGTACGCGTATATAGGTTTTCATATTCATTAGAAAAAATTCTAGAAGTTATTTTGTGAATGTGTGGGGCGTCGCGACGACGATTTTCGGTACTTCTTAACATTTTTGTTAATAGCATGAAAAATCTACGTCGACCTATGATTTCAGCATAGCAATCACTTCAGAGTTTAATTAGCTTCGTTGTGCCAAAGTTTCGCAATGTTCTTCAGTTTTTCTCCATGTAAAAATTTAATTAGAAATAGACAAAATATAGTTCCCAATGTATCTTTATATAAGACGCAGATTTTTCATATTGTTTTTACAAATTAACTTAGAAAGAAACTGAAGAACATTACAATACTTTGACACGACGAAGCTAATTAAATTCTAAAGCGATTACCGTGTTTAAAATTAAGGATTGTCGTTGATATTTTTATGCTTTTAATGAAAATGTTGCTAAAAGTTCCGAAAACCGTCGCCTCGATGCCACGCACATTCACTAAATAACTTCTAAAATTTTATTTAATGAATTTTAAGACCTATAAACTGATACCCGTACTCTGATAACCGAAACCCGAACCCTATCAAATAATGTAACATATTCAAATTTCTGATTTTTGAATATTCACAACAGACTTTTGTCGACATGTATTTATTGAATATGCATCTCAAATTTACAACTAATACTAATACTTTTTTTTCAGGTAAGTTTCGCAGTCAGCTTCTGATTTTTAGTAATAAATGATTCAGTCCGGATGGTGAGTTATCAATAACGATCGTCAAGCATTCATTACATCATTTTTCAAATAACCATAATTTGTAAAATTGAATTAGGTTTTTAAGATCGAGCATTCGAAGCTTGATTTTCACAAGTAATATAACTCCAAAGAACGAAATAAAAGCAGAGCTCGCAGTCGATGATTAACTTTCTCTGTAATAAAAACAATTATGAATTTTGTTGACGATTGAATGTTTTCACGCCGGTGGAGAAGCAAGATAATTTTATGATCTAATTATAGGAAAAAGAGCAATTTCCTAGCGTCTTTTTTAATCAGTCGCTCAACGACAAATTGTCTTTCAAACAATATTTACGATAAAAAAATTTATTTTTAATTAGTGCTGCATTTGCGCATTTTTATAAGCGCTGTTCTCTCAGTCCTCCTTCATCTTGGCTCCTCCGCGGGACTTGGGATGCACGCAATTATTCTGCTCGTTGGCCTGAAAATCCTGGATCCTGAAAAGCCAATGCGTCTCAGCTTTGCCAAGTCCGATTCTTTCATTTCTTTCTCAGAATGCTTTCCATGGTAATATTTATGCGAAAGAATCAGATTCAGCAGTTAATACAGTTAGTTCATTGCCATCAACGAGAGCCCCCGTGGTCACGAAATTCAAAACAAATAATTAACCATTTTGTCGAATACAAGTCGGCGCGTCCGCTTTCATTCGAGCATTTTCACAATACAACATCGACGCGGTGAGACGATTAAGATTCTCGCCGTTTTAACGACACGAGTATTTCGATCGAGCGCACGCAATTTGCCAAGATAATATCGCCAGAGGAAATTGCTTAACGTCGCAGCTCCGTAAGCAGAGTGTATCGGGGTTCATTGATTTCGTTCAACAGTGCCCTGACCCCGTCAAGCCGACAAAGTTGAGCGATTTCCTATACAGAGGCCACGTTCTGCGCGAAAGTTCATCGCTTGGATTTCGAACAGGAACCATTTCGTTCAGTTTCGACCTAATGAAGTAGCGGCTTATCTTTGGCCTCCCGGAGCTTGGAAATGCTGTTGGCGAAGCGTGCGCGAAAATCCGCGTGGAAATTTCGCCGAAAGGTAAATCGCCAGTTCGTGGAACTCTAAGGCGCCGGCGGGAAAGTGAGAAACGAGCAATGAGTGTCGCGGTGCATAACTTTATTATGAGACAAGTCTGCCTCCGTGCTTGCCGACGACTCTTTCATCGCTGTAGCTACCTGCCTACCCGCACGCGCGCACACGCGTAATAGGAAGATTACACTCGTAAATCATCTTATTCTTTTTTCTTGTTGTTCGAATAGAATTTTCTTTCACTTTCCGATCAATTATTTCCTCCGTAAGGATAGCTATAACTGATAAATTATGGATAATGCTTGAGTTATGAGCGCATTTATGTATAACGAGCTCTGATTGGGAACTTTGCTTGATTTACGTCGCGCGAAACCGGTTTCAACGCGGATTTCGTCGAAATTGAACGGGGAAAGAACTTTTATTTTCGAATGCTCCTGTGTTTTTTTTTTTTTTTTTTTTTTTTTTTTTTTTTCTTAACGAAGCAGGTACGGCACGATCATTTTGTTTTATTTATTTTCTCCTCTTGTCGCTGCTGAACGCTGCTTTGGCTTTGGGCGAATACTCCGCGCTCGAAAACTCATTTGGTCAGCCGATTCCGATCGATTCCGCGGCGTACAAGTTTTTTCCGCTCGCGCGCGAAACCAAGTAAAACACAAAGTTTTCTGCCTCATCTCGCCAAGATTGGAAAAGCTTTTCTTATCTGCTGCCGGCATCCCCGAATTTTTATGCGAACAGTATTCCCGAAGTAATCAAGTCGTTAATAACGAAAGTAAACAACGCAGTTCCTTCGATAGACGATTGAAAATTTTTCACTCGGACGCACAATTGCCGCTTATCATTCGGTCGTAGAAGAGCAACCTCGTCGCTCATAATACAAGAAAAATTTATCGTCCGAATAATCAACTCAGTTCGCGAGTAGTAACCATTAAACTTGGCGAGAGCCACGTGATTTTTAGATACTCTCGTGCGTGACAGTTCCTCTTGAACGTATACGCTGTACCGTTATAATTCGCGGCCCACGGAGCAAGTAGTTAGCGCGCCTCCGCCGCCACCGCCGCGGGAAAGTTTTTTAGAGTTGTGGCACAATGAAGAACTAACTGTCCGAGGTTTAGGGCTATGGGAAGGAGGTTAAGTCTCTTTTTATTTCTCCTTTGTTCTCTCCCCCGCTGGAGATTCGTACGTCTTCATCTTTTTGGTTTCCGAAAGAAATGTCGAGTTAATCTTTCGCACTTTCAAGATTTTGCCCGTGGCATATAAATCAACGCGAGCTCAGCTTCTCTCTCTCTCTCTCTCTCTCTCTCTCTCTGTCTCTCTGCGAGATAAAAGCACTTTTGCACTGACATTGCCTCGCTAACAATTCCGTACTCAAACTTGGCTCTACACGAGAACGAAAGCTTTTAACGCCGCTTGGCTTTCCTTTCGAGCATTGATAGTGCAAAAAGCATACTCGGGAGCGGCAACTTTTCGGTTTGCGCCAAGTATATCGTTTACGATGCGCTTAACGCTAACCAGTCGAAATCCGACGTCGAACGCCCGCAAACACTTTCGCGTCACCTTTGCCCCTGCGGATGATACGTAATTCGAATTGCGGATGAACGCTCGTCGTTGAAATTTCGACGCGCTCGCGTACTTTGCATGAACAAGTGTATTATTCTCGGGCTCGCGGCGACATTTTCAGGCGGTCAAGCAATTTCAAAATGTAAAATTTACGCACTGCAAGAGACGACGGTACCGAGTTTGCGTTCCAAATAAAACTATGTAATAGCCGCATATACATATCTAGCTCCTCTATCCACACGCGCCAACGACCCAAATGCATGCTCATAAAGCGTCGTCGCTCGCTCGCTCGGCATGAATTTGTAAGTATAATATAATCAGCGGAAAGACGCAGTGGCTCCAGAACACAAAAAAAGACAACATAAAGGAACGAAGAGGTGTGGGTAGAAGAATTCCGTTGGTATGTTTATCGTATAAATAGAGGCGCGCGCTGCAATCGTCAAGAGCATCCGTGGCCATTCTCTCACTGTTCAGCCTGTGCAGCACAGTCGTCCGACGAGGCCGGCGACGCCGGTCCCCGTTGCGCGTTTTATAAATAACCGCCTCGCATAAATATTTTCAGTCTACACCGACTGCGGTCGTGCCGATGCCGAAAAAGATTAGGACGAGACATGCCTTTCGCGCCCTCACTGTGTACCCCCTGCGACGATCGTTGACCGCGTTTCGGGACTTGTTGGTCGGAGCGGGTTGGATCTACCTAGCTGCCCCTAATTAACTTGTCATTAAGGGTGGAGACCTCGATTTTACGGTTCCGAATTTTCTACAGACTCACAAATCAGATACGCCTACGTATCGACTTATTAATTTGCCTTCAAGGCTACGGACATTTCGATGCTCGATTCCAGTCGTTCGTGGCGGCAAAGTTATTTATGGCCGCTGCAAAAAGGACAGAAAGATAGCGTTTTTACGAGCTGCTTCTCTCTCTCTCGCTCTCGCTTCTCGGGGGTGTTCGTGTGGCGCATACGCGCGCCAGGGGAAAATATCAGGATTTATATTTAAGGACGTGTGAAGCTATTTATAGAGGGACTCGTTTTTGTTCCT